CTGACACGCGAGAATAATTTATTAAAAGAGAAAGTTTATATAGATCCCAGGCTCTAAACAATCAAATTAGTGCCCACCTCAAAAAATTTACAGCTTAAAAAATAAATTTACAGCTTAAAAAATAGTGTAGATCGAGCTTGAAAATTGACATTTTTCTCATATCTACGCATCTTGAAATTGAGATGATCAATTTGATGATATTTGGTCATCAAAACAACCTCTTCTAGTAAAAGTTTTAAGGTAGGCTCTAATTTGATTGTTTCGAGCCTAGGCTCTTTATAAACTTTGCCCTTATTAAAACCACAAACATTTTTTTTTTTAAAGGAAACTGTTTTGATAGGGCTGCAGCCCTACTACAATAACTTGGGCTGCAACCGTCCATTAATTTGGCCGGTCCACTTCTTTTACACCGGTGAATAAGAGAAACCGGGGCACCCAAATCCCTGGTTACCACTGCATTTTCTGATAAAAGTTTTTTTTTTTTTCTATTGAAACCATGTACCCTTCCACTCGCCCTCTAAAACTCCTCTCTGGTTCTTTTCTTTGCCTCTCTCCCCTCTAAAACGTAGGTTACCACTGAATAGCTCCACTGCAATTCTAGAGAGAGAATACCTCTAAAAAATATCAAGTGTTTTTCTCTCATAAAGAATCAAACAGTTGATAGAGCTCACATAGAAATTTCAATTTTTTCTCTCAAATTTCAATTATGCAAATTTCAAGTTTTTCTCTCAAATTTTAATTTTGCACATAATAAGTTTTTCCCTCTAGAGCTTATCCCTCTCTAACATTTTTCGAATCTAGAGCTATAATTTCTTTCACTTTCAATTAGAATTTGAATGATGGGGTGCGACCTTTCTCAATCTAAGTTGTGAGCAATATTGGTCTTGTTATTTTCTATGTAGTAGGACCTTTTCCAGTTTCCCTCGGTCTCTGGTTTGTTGCAGAGGGCCTTTTAAGCTCTCTTGCATTCGAAAATTGAGAGAGAAAAGTGATTTGAGTAAGAGGAGGGATTTCCTGTTCTTTAGGTTTTATTTGTCGGGTAGCGTAAAAAATCTGCTCCGTTCGTATAGATGAATTGTGCAGGGTCTGCAGCTTAACTTTTTAAGTCCTGCAGAAACCGGATCCTTTTTTAAAAGAATACACTTTCTATGAGTCACCGGACTCCTATGTAGAAACGTAACCCCCTTAATAATCCATTTTCTAAATAAATTTTGACCCTGATCCTTAAGAAATACACAATCGCTAACATGGAGATCATTAGTGTGTAAAAAAATTTTAAAACTAAAAATGATATTCTCTTTTTACAGGAAACATATTTGAGCCATTGATTTTATGGAGGGACCATCAGTTGCATCCATCTTTAAATGGATGGTTTAGACCTGAGGGGGTATAAATTTAGAAATACGTCCCAATGTATAAACTACAATTCCTTTTTTAAAATTCGTATATTATATGGAATATTTTGGAAAAGTTATGAACAGAGACATCAAAAATGGTATGTTAAAGGTGTTCTGATAAATATTAAATGTCCAAAATCCGCGCACGTATGTTAATTATTTATTGAAAATTCACGGACGCAAAAAGGAAAAAATGGGCAATATTTATGAGTCCCCGAGCTCATATGTAGAAATGTGACTTCCTTTAATAATCTATTTTTGAAATAAATTTTGACCCTCATTTTTAATGAATGTACAATCCTTAACACGGAGATCATTAATAAGAAAATAAATAAATTTAAAAACTAAAAAAATGATATCTTATTTTTTGAAGGAAATATTGAGCCATTAATTTTACCTTGTTTTTGAAGGAACCATAGCTCACATCCACCTTTAGATGGATGGCTCAGGCCTCGGGGAATACAAATGTAAAAGTACATCCTCAAGGTATAAATTACTTTTCCATATTTAGAACACTGCCTGTTTTTTCTTTAAAAGAAAAGGAAAAAGTTTATATAAGGGTGAGGCTCTAAACAAACGTTTTAAGGCGCACCTTAAAAAATCATTAGAAAAGGTTGTTTCAATGCCAAGAAACCCTCAATTCGATCATCTCGATCTCAAAATATATAACTATGAGAAAAAATAGATTTCAAGTCTTAAAAATAATACATCTTGTAGTGTATTGCCTAGAACATCAATTTCTAAGATTTTCCAGTGTCTTTTGAAGGGAGGAGATGAACCCCAAAAGTATCAAGAATTGAAGCAATGTCATGAGACTATAAATAACAAAGATCAGGTTTTACCAGAACAATTGAGAACTCAAGCTATCTGTACACCTCTCCATAGCCATGAAACCTTAGTTATAAAGAGATGGGAGGAAGCCGCTCTCCAACATTCGGCTTTCCTCTTGGAATCTCTAAGAAGGTAACCCTTTTTTACTGAAAGAAAGGTAATTATCTCTTAGAAGGTAGCCCTCCTTTAACATCGGTGATCCCCTCCATGCTCCATTATGTGCTACTCACCATCGTCACAATTAACGGGATCTCCTTCATACTTGAGGTAACAAGTTTTTCCAGTTTTGATATCCCTTAAAGATCACCTCCTTCATCTTTTGCTTGCTGTAAATTAAGATTTACAGAAGTTATTCTTCATATCGTCATCCTCCTTTCCCCTGATCATAGACTTACATGATCTACATTATTTTTTAATTTTTAAATATTACAATTAAATATAATTATAAATTTTCATATCATTACAAATTTATTTTATATAGAAACATGCTTAGACACTATTTGAAGGTATTCCTTACTTTTGATTGGTTAGGACCTCAATCTGATATAAACTACACCCAAAAGAAATTGGAAAAGGATAACTTCAAAAAAGTAGCTGGTTTCCTCCTCATGTTTAGAAAAATAAACAAATAGGCCTAACAAAAAAACAAAAAAAGTACTTGTACACTGGCAAGTCCACAAATAAAGTCGTTTATTTTTAAAGGAAAAAGACTAAACGTCTATGAAAATAATTGCTTTCCTTGGTCCGTGCATATAATCAAGCGGGAGATAGGATGGACGTTCTACCTGCCTAGATGGATTTGTAACCTTTAATCTTAACTGTCAAAATTGTAAAAAGAAAATATCACGACTTTTTGTTAATAAACATTGCAGACGCAAACGTGCCGATCTTCTCATGGAGTACTAAAAAAAAATGTTTATATGGAGCTGAAGCTCTAACCAATTAAATTAGAACCCACCTAAAAAATTACATTAGAAGATGTTGTTTTGATGGTCAAATATCCTCAAATTGATCATCTCGACATCAAGATGCATGGATATTAGAAAAAAATAGATTTAAAAGTTTTGGAAATAATGCATCTTGTAATGAATTTTTGGATCGTCAATTTTCAAGATTTTCAAGTTTTCATAGATTTACTTGATCTACAATTTTTTCAAGCTTGAAATTTTTTAATTTGAGATGAAATATATTCTAAATCTATCACAAAGATTTCCAATATTGAAATCACATTTTTCAAGGTCTTTGACTTTGATTGTTTAGAGCCTCGGCTCTATACAAACTACACCCAAAGAAAAAAAAAACGTGATTTCTATGAGTCATATAGAAATGAGTGGCTTCTTAAAAATATATTTTTAAGATGGATTTTTTGACCTAATTTTTAAGAATAAGTAATCTCTAACATGGGGATTTTAAATATAAAAATAAAAATGTGTTTTACAAACTAAAAATAATAATTTTATTAGAAAAATATTTGGATCGTTAGTTTCAATTGTTTTTAAATGGACCACTTATTTGCTTCAATCTTTAAAATGAATGCTTTATACCTTGGGGCCGCAAATGTAGAAATGTGCTTCCCCCATCAAACAATTTTCCAAAAAATAAAAATAGAAGGGTTAATGAGAGAAAGAGTAAAGGCCAGCCACCGACTTAATATATACTTTTTTTTTTTTCTTTTGTTTTTATCGTGCTAAAGATGAAGAAACGATAGGAAAAGAAACCACCCTCTACCTAAAAGATTTCTTACACTCTTGGAAGTATACTATATATTTACTCCCTATCACAAAACACAGGCTAGGGAATCTTTTTAGATATCAATTTTTCGGGGTGTAATATTTAAAAAGATAGAATAATCTCAACAAAAAACCTCTAAAATAAACACTTTATGTACTAGAAAAAAAAAATAATACTTCAAAATTGGATAGAAACCACCCAATTTTTTAAGAGTGCAGTTGGCATACAGACGCATTCGTAGCTGTTGAGGTAAGGTGCGCCTTAAAATTTTATCATGATATGTAATTTTGATGTAAAATGTTCTTAGGATTATCTTAAAATCTATTTTTATATATAATTATAAAGTTTTAAATGATTTTATTTGGCTACACGACTTATGGTGTAGACCTTTAAAGTGTTCAACTTTTTTAGAGATTTAGATACCCTTATCCTATAGTATAGTAACTTTTTGTTTAGGGGTATTTTAAGTAATTAGTTAAAGGTAAACTAGAAATTCTTAATAAAAACAAAATTATTTATTAACAATAGTGGACAATGACATCACCGATATGGTGTGGGACATCACAGCCCAAAAATGGTTAAAATCAAGTAGATTTATAAACATATAAAATTCTCGAAAATGGGCGGTGTAGATAATATATTGTAAAATACACTATTTTTTAGACTTAAAATCTTTTTATTTTTCATGGTCATTCATGTCCATGTTGATATTTTAATATTAAAACTTCCTTTTCCGATGGATTTTTGAGGTGCATGTGTAGCTCTACATTGTAAAGTTGTAACCTTATATAAACTTTTTCCATTTTTAAAAGGCTAGATCTAAGCATGTCAAAACTTAAAATTTATTTATTTTTTGTTTAGAAATAATCATCGTAGTGATTCTCATGTGATTCCCAAAATGTTAAACTAAAACAGTTCTCCTTTGAGAGAGGGAGCGCATAAAACAGTATACTCTCGAGTGAGCATAGAAAATGCGCTAAAAAACCCATGTGTGGTTTCCCAACCATCTCACGCTTTCCCCAATACCTACCATTCCCTGCCAATAAAATTTATAGTGAGAGGGAGACTGAGCGCTTTTTGGTCGCTCTTCCTTTCCCTCGTTCTTGAGGAACAAGGTTCCTAGAGATACTTAAAACCCCTTAAAAGTTAAAACCATTAGAGAGAGAGAGAGAGAGAGAGAGAGAGAGAATGGGGTATTTGATGATGAAGGTGATGTTAATGGCAGTAGTAGTTGGTGTGATTGATGCAGAGGCAGGAAGGCATCACGTCGTGGGAGAGGACCGCGGCTGGGATCGGAGCTCCGACCTCCAGTCCTGGTCTCAAAACAGGATTTTCATGCCGGGTGATAGCCTCTGTAAGTCTCTCTCTCTCTTCGCTGATGATTTAGCTATATTGCGCTTGCGATTCTCATTTCTCTCTCTCTCTCTCTCTCTCTGCAAGAGGGTGAAGCTGCACTTTAATGGAGTGTCCTATACCCTAATCCGTAGGGCTTCGGTTCTTGATAGTGGACAACAGGGATTCACTGAAGTTAATCTCTGTCCGTCCACCAGTAAAAACGGCTGGTGATGCCCCTTTCGACTAATAATACTCATTTGAATTTAGTGTAATGTCGCAATATTGAAAAACGAACAGATAAAAGCAAAAGGAAATTTTTTTTTTCTTAAATTCAAGCTCGGCCTTGGCCAATCTATTCGGGGAGTAGGCTATGTTCTTTATGACCATAGGATGCGAGTGTCATCACCGTTGAATCTATTGGTGGACGGTGATGGGGAGAGAGCGTGCGGCCCCATAACATAAAATGACCCAGGTGGTAGGTCCCAACTCTCCAATGCCGTTGAATCATTTGATTCGACGATGATGGTGCTTATGCCCTTTGAGCACGGTATACTCTACCTGAATTTGGTGGGGTATTTTGTCCTACCCCTTGCTGTATATTTCATTCTTGAATCTTGATAGTGTTTTAGAAACGGGCAGTTTCAGGTAGGAATCGATCAACCAGTGTACCCGTTATCTCTCCCAACACCCATTGTTATATGTTTTTTTTGTCTTTTTTTTTTTTTGAGAAATTATAGATACTCCCCAATTTGTTTATGGTATTTTTTCCTACCATTTTGGATACCACACTATTAATTTTAAAACTATCTTTATCCGGGATAATCTAAACTTCACAACCCTTCAAATTACAAAATTAACTATGGATAGAGTTGGTAATGGTGGATTTACTAAATTTGTAGTCTATTTTCTAAAAACAAATTAGATATCTTCATCATTAAGTAAAGATAATTTTGTAAATATTGTTGCAAGACAAGTGATATTTTTCTCTTCCCCATAAAGGGTAAGGTTGAAATTTTTACTAAAAGACAACGATATTTTACAAATAAAATTATGATATGCTAACTTTCGAAATGTTATTCTACTTTTATAAAAATTTCAAATTTACCATTGCTTAAAGGTTTAGTTACCTATTAAAATAATTTTTAAAATAAAAAATAATGATTTTTTTTATAAATACACCCATCACAACTCTTTCTAACTTTAACTTTTGTATTTTGAAGGGTGGTTAACTCTAGACAAACCCATATATATATATATATATATCTCATTATCATCATAATAGATTAATTGGGGTTGGCTACATGAATCTTGGTTTGTCATTCTACTCTATTAATGGTCATGCCTTTAGTGAGGTTATAAGTCTTCATATCTTTTCGAATTACTTTCAATTACATCTTTTTAGGCCTATCTCTTTTTCTTTTAAATCCTTCCACTTGAACTAATTCGCACCTCGTAACAAATGTTGTATTTGGTCTGTATTATATATGGCCAGCCTACCTAAGTCTATTCTCTCTCATCTTATCGCCTATTGGTGCCACACCTAAATTCTCGCGAATGGATTCATTTTGAATTCCATCCCTTCTTGTCTTGTTACTCATTCATCTTAACATCCTCATCAGAGTTAATAGTGTGGCGTCAAAAATGTTTTTTTGGCAATGCCTAGAAAGAACAAATTTGGGTGTATCTATATCCTTTTTCTTTTTAATCTCATTTAATGTTTTATTAGTCTCTTAAATCCCCATTCCATAAATTCCTACTTTTATTTTCATTTTATTTATTTAGTAATAAATTTTTTGGATCAACAATTCGACTGATCCAGACCTAATATGGATCACTTATCTAGCGATTCGACATGAGTCCATAGGTGAACAATTGGCTCAACCAATCCGGGTTTTCCGGGTTTTGAAACACTGATTGATAAGATATAAAGGAAAAACGACACGAGAATGGCAAGGCTACAGGGGTTAATGACCAAAATACCTAATCCTAGGCTATCAACATTCAATTAATCAAATGACGGTGATGAAGAGATAGTGGGACCCTCTATTTTGGGCCACTTCGTTTTTCCATTGGGTCTACTCTCACTTCATTACCATCCGTCCATTGTAGTGATGCCCAACGTAGCATAGTTTTGGTTTTTCCGTAGTCCAAGAAGTGATAATATTTTTCAGGGTAGTGTTTGATAAGCAGAACTTTCTGCACCTGGTGCTGAAAGTTTAAGTAGCTGTAGCAGTTAGGCCCCTTTGCTCCAACAAGTGAGGCAAAGTTCGGGAGCTTGCCTCTCCTATTTTCCCTAGTGGCTCTTTTCTATATTGTTGCCCGGATTTTTTTTTTATTTTCATTTTTATTTTCCAATTAAGCTTTAAATGAGATTTGGAGGGTTTTATACACCTCATGGGCGGGCGCATCTGTAAATAAATAAAACATTAATAATTTGAGTAAAATAAAATGACAAAAATATTCCCTTGTTTTAAAGCTATATTGGCCATTTAATCTTTTGAGAAAATTTTACATAGCTTTTAGAGGTGGCTGAGCGCCAGAAAACATGTATATAAGGAGTAAAAAACATAGATAAAATTTAAGTACTTAGATATGTTCTCAATCGCCCGATTAATATTGGACAGTTGAAATCAATAGCGTTTTACATATACTACAATGTGGACTATGTAATCATTTAAACGATGTTGGCTTTATCTTCGTCTATTTTTTATTTTTTTTGCAATATCAGATGACGATGAAATTTGGAGTGGCTACGTGCCTCATTCGGGTGCATCTGAATATAATATAAAAAGAATTTCAAACAAAACGAAATGATTAAAATACTTTTCAAAAATTGGGGTACTTCGAATATTTCCTTTTTCAAAAAATATTTTATTTTCTATTTATATAGGTACATGAGGGTGAGAAGTATGGATTCTTAAAATTTTAACTCAATCCATTAGATAAAAATAAAATAAAATAGAAATATTCAGATATGCTCTCAACTGTCAATTTTGAGGCGACTATAACCACATAATTTTTTTCTTTCTTAATCTGATCTCGACCATTCAATTTGTTAGCCCTACCGTTAATAATTTCATTTATTTAAAAACATCACCCTTTCATTAGTAATAACTCCAATCAACATTTAAAACTCACTAGTTTCTATGACTTCATATTTCTAGAAAGACAGGTTAAATCAAATACATGTTATGCTTCTTAGACCTTCCAAAAAAGTAATGAAACATATTACTATCTAGTTCCATGGCTGAAGAAATCAAGGTTTCAAAACTCAGAAACTCCCAACTTCTAAGGTACTTCCAAGTTTCAAATATTAAACATGCCCCAGAAGAACATAAGTTCATTGCCATATGTCTCAAAAGGTTTCTATAACCTACTGCATGAAGATATTTACTTTCTCCCCTTTTTAGTCGTCCAATTTAGATCAAGTGAGCCACTGATTGTTTGATCTAGATCTAACGCCTCAGAGTATTTTATTTTTATTTGTTTTAATACAAATTATATGATTATAAAATTTGATACTTGCCGTCATCTTACTGCACCACACCAAAAAAAATATTAAAATTTTGTTGTTTGATAAAATATAATGACCAAAATATCTCTTAAAACTTTTAGGTATATTTTTTGTTATTTTATTTTATTGAGAATATTTTTTATATATATATTTTTTATAGGTGCGAGTTTAAGAGAGGAGTGGGTGCCTAAAATTTAGTGTCAAAATATTTTGTAAAAAAATTTAAAATAAAATAGTGTAGAGACATGACATTGTGATTTGGATCATCTCAGCTGTCCATTCGGAATGGATAGTTGGATTGGGGGAAATATATAAGTTTTATGGTAAGGGAAGCATAGAAAGCTTGCGCATATCCTATATCCGACCAAATGTCTAAGTTTATAGTCCATCCCATAGCGAATAAGATCATTTTCTTTTGGTATAGAAAAGTCACAGTTGCTCTTAGCCGTCTGATCTGAAATCGATGTAGCATTGACCTTACTTAAAGCCTGAAAAAGTTTTACTCATACTTTTTACGGGGAAATGACACTCCCCAGTCTTAGTGATAATTATCATTATCAAGATATTATCAGCAGAGGGTTTATTAGGTTGTTATCAATTTTGTGTTTCTACTTGGAAATTTATTAGATATGATTCGTATTTTAATGTACTAAAATAAGTATATTATTTATTATTATTATAAGAAAACTTATAAAAATGTACTTAAGAGATAAGCTATTTAATATTTTACCCATATATTTTGATTTGATTTCAAAAACCCATAAAAATGCACGTTGGAATAGTTGAAATGGCAAAACATTAAATAATTGATGTCTTAGGTCTAATTTGGTAAACTGTTGTGAATTACGCAATAAATTATTATTTGAGGATAGATGAAATTCAATTCAAATTATACACACCAAAAAATAAACAATTTAAAATGTTGCATACGTGACAAAGCCCAAAATAGTTTAAAATATCAAAACTCATTATCCAACTTAGTAGCTTTACCTACATATCCATTATCGATTACTTCTAAATTGCTCCCCATTTGCATTATTGAGATTTTTAGGTAAAGAAAGTATTTTCAAATTTAAATTGCTGATTTCTCTTTCATACTACACACAAGTTATTATGAGGAAAGATTTTTATTGTGGTAATAATAAAAATACCTAAATTATTGTGATAAATTCATTTTATAAGGGTTTCATAGGAGTTAGTATTAGAATCACGGTTATAAAAACCGCGCGATCTAACCGCTAACCTCCTGGTTGCGGTTTTGGTGATCAACTGGTATTAAAACAAAAAAAACAAAAAAAATGTATAAATTCTAAAAAATAAGGAATTTTATTTGTAATATATTTTTTAATATTCTTTACATTATGGTAAAGATTAAAATTTCTTTGTTCATTAATACTCACTTTTATATTTGCCCATCTTTTTCAAAAAAAATTTAAAAATACCACTAGGCACAAATTGATTTGTTAAAATCCTTTTTTTTTATTTATATCAATTTTCAACTTCAT